ATCCATCCATCCATCCATCCATCCATCCATCCATCCATCCATCCATCCAGATTTCTCTCTTTCTCCATATAGGCTATCATTTGATTGTTCACGCTCTCCGTAGTTCCCCTGTGGCGCGAGCACAGGGCGGCTGTTGCGCGCCTTTAGCGAGCATCTGCGTTTTGCTCATAGTGCATTATGAAGAATAAAGATTTCTGCTAAAGCTGTTTCAAAACTATTAATGTACACTGGGCAAAATCATATAATCAAACAGCCCATGTACAACATTGTTCTTGAGGTTAGTAGTGTGCTGCTCATGGTGCATTATGAAGAATAAAGATTTTTGTTTCAGCTATTTCAAAGCTATTGATGCACACGGGACAAAATTATGTAATAAAGATTTAATTCTCTTTATTCACGTTTCCAAAATATATTTTAAAACCTCACCATATTAGGATGTTTTTTGGTCAAGTAAGATTTATCACAATATTTGACCTCAGTATGTCAAAAATCCTGGTTACGGCCCTGCTCACACCTAAGGAGAATTTAGAGAAGCCAATTAACCTAACAGTCATGTTTTTGGACTGTGGGGGAAAGCCAGAGTACCCGGAGAGAACACACGCATTCACAGCGAGAACATGCAAACGCCATGCAGAAAGACCCAGGGCCGGGAATCAAACCCAAAACCTTCTTGCTGCAATGCAGCAGTGCTACCCACTGCTCCAATGAGCAGCCCAAGATAAATCAATCTAAAGAATACAAAAAAAAATTGATTCTAGTTAATTCCCTTGTGTAAATCAGTGTGCCCACCTGAGAAATGGAGTCCGACAAGAGCCATTGGGAAGCAGGGTGAAGAGACTGTCAGCTCGTAGTCCATCTGCTACAAATAAGACCAGTCTGGAGGCAGGAGGTGCCAGTGGTGTGGTCTGGGGTGTCATGCCATGAACCAAAGGAGATGTGAAGTAGATATCAAAGATGGAGAGGAAAAAAACTACATGGACCGTCAGTCCTATTAGGAAAAATGTGACCATCCTCATTTTGCCTGAGCACAGCCTTGACTCTACAGAGCAACGCTGGGGTTCCTGAGATGAAGCAAATGAAAAAGATATATAAGCAAGAAGATTGAAATATAAAAAGAGACATTAAAGAACATTTACTAAGGGCCTACAGAACACAAAGAGAAGACATGTAAGCTTGACAATTAGACTGGCTAAGTCATTGTTTCTTTAACTGTAAGGCTTAGAGATGGGACTAATCCTTCCCCATATGCCACCAGCCAATATGTCAAACATAGAACACATAAGGGCAAATAGTTTTGTACTATATAAATAGCAACAGCTATTCCATTATATTGTAAGTTTGTAAATAAATCTATTACATCTGACAAAATACAGCTTTTACTCTTACCTTTATATATCGTCAGCTAGATCCTGACATAAAGTGGTTAAAAGAACAAGTGGTCGAAAAAAATGTACCCATTCAAAACAATAATATTTTCCCTAAATTATATCTTCGTGATAGTGCGTCAATACATATCCAACGTAGCAGACAGATTAAGGCTACTCTTTCGAAACGAGATCAGCCTAATCTTTAGGTTGATGCTTTTACAAAACCAACCACCCTCTTTGTAACAAGATTACTACAAGAAATACAGGCAGCACGAGATTTTACTTCCTTATTGTGACTTTGGAGTTGACACCTGGCGCATGCGCAAGCAGCTGCATTATGGGTAATGTAGTTATTAAAAAAAAACATTGAACTCCAACCAGTTTTTTGAACAATACTTATCTCAGAGTTTTGACTTTTAATGCGCAGTGTCCGAATAGCAGAGAAAAAGGACCTAACTTTATTGATATTGTTATATATGGACTCTATTTTTCATTTTTTGATATGAGCTAGCATGAGCTGTCAACTTACAACCGTGCCCTGCCCAGTTATATTAGAAACATCCAATCACCGTTCAATGACTTCTTAGAAAGGCGGTCTTTAAGAAGACGTCACAGAAATTTAACCAATAGTAATTTCTGTTTTTTCCCCCAGTTAAAAGCCATACATATCAGGGTATTCATTCAGGAAGAAGCCTGTCTGATTAGCCTAGCCTGCCAGGAGCGTTAAAACATTTTATAGTGGAAAAAAAATGGCGTCGGTCAACCCATTTGATGTAAGTGATTCCGAAGAAGAAGCGGAACGGCGTCCTAATGAGACCGTTGACACAGAAAGAAGTCCGAGCGAGGGGGCGCCAGGGCCACCGTCAGGCAGTCCCTTCTCTCCTCCTGCTGATGCCGAGGCTCCGACACTGATGCTGTCTAGCAACCGGACAAGCCCCAGCGGTGAGGCCACCTCGGTTTCGGCCGCGGCCACATCCACTATGACAGGCAGCGCAGAGACGCGGGTGTCTGTGGATATAATTGCTGCTCAGCTGTTACGGGACCAGTACATTCTTACGGCCCTGGAGTTTCACACTGAACTACTGGAAGCAGGTAGGGAGCTACCGCGGCTAAGGGATTATTTCTCCAACCCTGGCAACTTCGAGCGACAGAGCGGCACCCCACCTGCAAAAGACCAGGGGCTCGGATCTGGAGGACCACTGAGTGAGTAGCATTTGCTCACACTGATGCTAACAGTTTGCCAACCTGCGGTATTACACAGAGATAACTCATTAGCTCGCTAACGTTAGCTAAAGTAGTGGAATTGATCTCGGTATTGCAGGTTGCTGCTCCGACCGCTCGAGGGCCGCAGTCATCAAACGGGTTCTGTGGGTCAGTTACCTTGGCAGCAAGATCAGAGCATAGGTCATGAAAAGCATTAAAATTAATGGAAGCAGATATAACAAATGGGGGTATATATAGGATATAATAATATATGGGTTGTGACCTGTAATAAAAAAAACAAAAAACAACACTCCTTACTTCTGGCCTCCAGATCAGAAGTCAACAACATCCAGAAAAAATCCTGATTTAAAAAAAGGCAAGTTTTATTTTATTACCTACCTTTTGGATTACAGATCTTTTTTTTTAAACATCCCTTTTATTTTAAACTATTTTCCTGTACATCTTAAGTCTACATTGCAGGTTTTCAATTATGCTTGACACCAGATTCTTACAACAAAATTAGATTAGTTGTTATGGGCTGTGTGTCTGGAGTGTTATCTACTTATGGGACCTTTATTGGAATAACCAGTGCATGGAAGGTGGAGAGCCTCTTAGGCCATAGGCAAACACAGCATGCAAATGATTACCATGGAAACTCTCAGCATCATAATAAAAAAGCCTGTTGTAGAACTTTAATAAATAGAACAAGTGGGACATTACCCGTTGTCAATAGGGATGGACTTCCATAAGATTATCATAAAAAAAAAATGTCTAAAAGCACAATGGTTTATTGGTTTTATATAAATATAACGTTCATATAATCAAGTTTTATTCAGGAAAGCAATAAATATTCCCCCTCACTACCAAATAGCATAACATAGCAATTGTTATTTATAATTATTCTTCGGACACAGATCAGGAAAAAACTATATTTAACAGCTGCTAAATTTACTAGTATTTTTAAAGTGCTTAAAATGCAGAATCTCATTCCTGTTTATGCTGCTATTTGTATCGCATCAAATGTGTAATAAACTGATAATAGCTTGTTGATTGGTTGGACTATTAGCAGACAAGAGGCTGTTTAAAAAATCAACCTTGAGAAAATAAGGGGACCTTTGACCCTAGGGCATAATATTTGTCAAAGCTTTTGTTTGGTTCAATGAGGGAAATTTGGCACCAATGCATTATAATGACTAATAAAGCTTGATTAACCCAACTCCAAGAACAGCTGGCTACATGAGGGGTGTAAGAGCTTTTGGGGCTTTTGTCTAATTGTTTTAAGAGCACTTACTCATTTCCAAGCTCCTTAATTATTTGAACTATGATTGAAACAGCAAGAACTTTCTGATAAAACAGGTGATCTTGGGATCGTGATGAGAAAGTGTTTTATTACATCCATAGATGTGATTCAGCTTCAATTCAGAAGCAGAAAAGGCTTTCCCTGTGCTCCAAATGTGTTGGTGGTATGTTGTGTCATAATCAAAGCAGAGGTAATCCAGCATCACAGTGGTTGGTACCGAAGGAAACTTCGGAGTGTCCCTCTTGGAAATCTGTGAGGTTAGAGGATTCTTCCGTAGGATTTCCTTCAAGCTCTAAAGCCAGAATCTCACCCCGTCAGATTCTTTGTGTCCTTTAGATGTCAGATTTAAATCTAGAAGTAAGAAAAAACTTTGCATATACGTATTATTTAAAGTTCGCAATTATGCATGCTGTACAAAGCTCTCATTGTTGCTTGAAACCCACAAAGGTGTGGAGCATGATGCCATAAAAAATGTTTCTTTGAAAAGGGTAACGTACCATGACAGCTCCCCTGTCGGGGTACTGACAGGACTGTCATGGAGGTAAAGTCATCTTAGTGTCGATGGCTGTTCATGAGCCAGAATTCAATGAAGTATTTCATAAACAAAATGGCTAAATCTACTGTTGCAATATCGTGCAAACAAAAGGAGGACTTATTCTAAGGCTATGTCTTTTATTGTTTTCTACCAAATCCAATAGCAAATCTCATGAAATTGCAGGAGTGATCTTTTTAATTGTTGGATACTCCATATTAATTACTCAGTCTGCCACTTTGAACTATCAATTTAGTTAATAATCATATTAAAAAGGCCGGCTCCATTGCCTTTCTTAAAGCAACATGATCAAAATGTTACATTGACAAAAAAACAATATTTTAAATACTTTATTTTATAAGATTAAATAAACTGTGAAACGGTGAAATAAGAACATACCCATCTTTATTACAATGCATGCCTTGTCCTTTGCTCTTAATGCTTTAGAGTCAGTTTAGATTAGTCTTTTATGTATAGATGCCAAGTATCTTATGTGCCATAAAAGCAAAGTAATTGCCGAAATCCTCTGCTGACCGTCTAGAAATGAATTCGATCCGGCCACTCTGAATACAGAAGCTGTCAGCAAGTCATGTGCACCTGATTGCAGTGAGCATTCAGATGGGTAGTGACTGTGCTGCAGCTGTTGCTAGAGGCCACATGACACAGCAAGACATTTCCCACCCATTTGTTCATCTGCAGCTTCAAGGCATGGGTGGATGTTCGCACCAGAGCTACATAATCAGATAGCTGCTTGATTATATAGCAATATATGGAGTATTGGCTTAATTTAAAAGCACAAAAGAAGTGATTTATATTTTGAGGGGTGTCTGTCAGACACCGTAACCACCTGAAGCCTTTTTTTTGTTATCATCCTTATCTGAGGCAAACTTAAAATGCAGCTTCCTGACAGGATGTGCGTTTATTGCCTTAAGAGATGTCTGTCTGTGATTACAGCAAAAAGCATCAGTGGTTTTTATTAAATTAAATCTGGAATAGAAACACTTTTTTGCTGTTATTTTGTTTTTAGCATTGTTTAAAGCTCTACATCTAGAGGGGCTTTACATTTTCTTTGTAGGATTATTACTATATAATAATTCACAGTTGACAATTAATGGGATTTAAGAACATTCCCCTATACAGAAATACAAGATGGTAAATATACTTTTTTTTTGTTACTGCTAGGATATTGAAAGAAGTATTTGACCCCTTTTAGATTTCTCTTTTTTTTTTGCTTTTCTCTTTGACCTTGCATGTTTAAACCAATTAAAACATTTTAGTACCTGTCATAGATAACCTGAGTAGGGCCGCAACTAACGTTTCTTTTTATTTTTTCGCTTTAATAATCAAATATTGAAAGGTTCATTAAAGAATTTTTTTTACAGAATGAAACCAGGTGAAACTAAAACTTTTCCACAGTTCTGGATAGAGCAGATTGAAGGACAAACATGTTTTCTTTCTTAAAAGCAAAATATATTTTTATTTATTTTTACAGTTTTGATATAATAACGTCTCTAAATGGGTTGCTCTGTGAGCTAAAGACATCTTTTAAAGTCTCTATACTACAGTTCAATTCAGTTCAGTTTATTTGTATAGCAACAATTCACAACATGTCATTTCAAGGCACTTTACAATTTAACCAGATCTTATAGTCAAATTGATTCAAAGTTTTCTCTCTAAGGAAAACCAGCTGATTGCATCGACTCATTGACTTAAGACAATCCCTCACACCAAGCATGTTTTGTCCGGTTAACGAATAATCAATTTGTAAATTACTTGGGATGATTATTTTAATAATAAATTAATCTGATTAATTGTTTCAGCCTTAAACCAGAGTAAATCCAAAATGTTGCATGGCCCCAGAAGAAAGCATTACTGACCTGTAAACCTAACTGGCCATGTAAACCTTTGACTACAGCTGCCTTCTTTAAGCCCATTCAGAATAAATGAGAATAAGAGCAGAGAGGACTGTGTTTTTTTTTTTAAGCCACATTGGATTAGTGTTTAAAATGTGATGTCCAAAAAAAGGCAGATTCTAATGAGACTTTTTCTTTCCATAGTTTTAAGGCTGGGCATCATTTATATTCCAATTTTACCACATTATTACTTCTTTTCTACCTCCATTGACCAAATATTTTATTGGAGCACAGTTTTATTGCCTAACTTTGCATTTTTTATTTGTATTTTTTTTACTATGGAAACATTGACAGCAGAAAATTGCCAAACTTTAAATCAAACTAATGGTAACTTTATAACCATCATCTTAGATGCTTGCAGTAGGGCTTTGCAAAATGGCTAAAAATTATATAACATAAGCCTTTCCCATCAGTTGATATCAATAATAATTGGTTTGTGTTTTCCAGGAGAAAAAAAAAACCCTTAAATTTAAATTGTGAGCATTAAAAATAGTTCAGCTCAACCACCGACTTTACTTAGTTTGGCTGTGAGAGGTTAAAAGGGGCTAAATCCTTACCTTTGCATCCCCCAGACCACCACATAATTCAGGGACATTATCACAGATTTGATGGGGCATATTATCAGGTCTCTATTGAGATATAAATTGATTTTTAATTATTACTCAACACTAGCCTTTTAGCCAAAATATAGGAATCTTGAGAATGTAAAGCCTGTATATTTATATAGCAATAGCACATTCAGTAGGAGTTCTTAATAAAAAGATAGAAAAAAATATTACAAGGATTACTGAATGTGCATACATTATTTTAAGACTAGCATTCCTTACACTTCAGTTAGCTGTTTTGTATTTATTTCTTAAAACCAACACATTTTCATTCACAGCAGCTTGACCTTCTGCTTTCTGTCGATATAGGAGAACAATTAAGGCCAATCTCACACTTGCATTCCAGTGGAAAGAAAGGTAACGAAGCACACTGAGCAGCCGGGCTCAGTGAAATATGGGCCCAAATGTGCATATTTATCAGCAATATCTGGTCTTCAAAAAGTCTTAAGGGTTGTTACCTTAACAGGCATTTCCATTAAGTGGTTATTTTACAATACAGTTACATGAAACTTTCTACTCCATTCAGTTTATTCTGAGTACAGCTTTAAAATTTCACATGAAGCAACTCTGTTGAGAAATATTAATGATCATTTCTTATGTGATAAAGAGGGCTCCTCCCTTAAGAAGTAAACACTCATAGCTAAAGCTGTGTCTCTTTAGAACTTTCTTAATTTATTGCAACATTCCTTTAAGCTGTGCGATCAGTGGCATTATTGGTCTTAATGTTGTAATTGATGTTCCCTAAGTGCTGCCTCTGTGTTCCTCTGCAGATAGAGCTGGCAGTATTAGCACCTTGGACTCTCTGGACTTTGCCCGTTATTCAGATGACGGCAACCGCGAGACAGACGAAAGGGTGGCAGGTAAGACGAGCCATAGTGTCAGGACTCGTGGCAGCAGAGGCTGCTTACATTTGGGAAATACAAGAACATAGGACGGTAGAGAGCCATTTAAAATAGGCCTGATTCATACCTGTAATTCAGGTGTATAGTTTACACTGATTAAACATTTTTTTAGGGTACATTGACTTAATATTTGATGTCAAATAATCAAAACTTTTGGAATTATTTTTATCTTGAGTCACTGGTGAAAGTACATTTAAATCTCAGCCTTTTATAACCCGTTGTGAGTACCTATCAGGCCTTCATTGGTTTTGATTTGGAACTTTGGTGTCAGAGTTGCTTAGACTTACACACATTTTATTGTCCTTTTGTACACACAGTGTTTACAAAACGAAATTTCGTTCAGTGCAGCTCTCAAGACATTTCCATTTCTAAAGTGCAGCAGTGATAAAATGTAAACATGGTGATCAAATGTAAACATAAGACTGGTATATGATTTACAGTTTCCAACATTCAGTGCTTTTTTTAATTCTTTTTTGCTGTTATGAACATCGGCACTAAGGTTTCAGCCAGTGCTATTTTTTTTTCTTTACAGAAAACTCTGTCAACGTAGTTAAACCAGTTTCTAGTTGTGTCAGGCAATAAAAGAATACCACCCTGCAGCTTCACATTTAATGCATGTGCTTAATTGCTAGCCTTTTTAAAAGGTTGTTTTTGAAGAGTTTTAGCTGAAGAAGAATTAATAAATGCTGAAAAAGAGAATCCTTTAATGCTATAAAGAAAAATGATCTGTACTGGTATCCAGTAATACATGAAAGGCTTTTGCAGCGTGTGGTAATAGAAGGTTCAACATTACCTGTTAGCATCTTTTTGTTGTCATCACAGTAGGTAATTAGACTCCTTTTGTCCTATAGTTCATATAGTCGGGGTAGGAGAGCAGGGTATTTTCTAAGGCCTAAGATCTAAGGCCACCTTCTATATTCAATGCATCATAAAATATTACATTAGGGCTGCAACTAATGATTATTTTGATAATTTGTTAAATTGTTTTTTTTTTAATTAATAATCGGATAGCCAGTTTTCACTGGAGGAGTTCTGGATAGAGCATATTGACAGACGGAAAAGTTTTTTTTTATCTTAAATTCTAAAAAAATGTTCTTCGCAATTTTTATATAGTTACTGCTTTAAGTGGGTAGCTCAGTCAGCTAAAGGCATGTTTTTAAAGTCTCTGTAGTACATTTAACAATTAACTGATTACTAAATTAGTTGACGATTATTTCAATAACCGATTAATCGTTTCAGCTCTAAATTTCATAATCAAGAACTTTATTATTTATTTAGTGAAACCTTGGGTATGGATAGATGAGTTATGGAGGGAAGTTTTTCAAGATGTTTTTTTCTTAATTTTCTTATAAATATGATTTAAGGGTAAAACAGAATATAGTCTTTGTCAGACCATTCTAATATAATAGTTTTAATAATAATAATGAATTTTAATTGTAACGCACTTTACATTTGAATTCAAATCTCAAAGTGCTACAGTTCAAAAAGAGAAAATTAAAACAAAGGTTAAAAGACCATAACATTAAAAACAGAGTAAAAAAACTATCATTAAAATCAATATTACATCAGGTGAGTGAAAACAGGGATTTTGTAATTGGTAAGTTTTAGCTTTTTAAAAAGTATGACCATATACTGTGGACACGTTTAGTACTTAGTCAGGCCTCATTTTCCCAAGCAGCAGTGCAGATTGTGAATGTAAAATGTCTGACCTGTTATCTCTGCTGCCGTATTTCGACTTCCAGACAAATTTTCTATAGATTCTTAGTAGGTTTAGGTCTTGAGGCCTTAGGCCTTTTCTGCACAATTATACCATGTTTATGACCGCAGTAATAGTAGATTGGTAGAAACCACCTTAGCATCTCCAGAAAGCTTAACAGTATTAGTTATTAATGCTTTTAATGTTGTCTTAAGTTGGGAAACGAATTAACACTAGTAATGTGACAGGTATAGGCCCATGTCGTGAATAAATCAGGGTTTGGTTGCTTTTAAAGTTTACTTTGACACCTTGTTCATCTCCCCCAGATTTCTGAGCTGGTTTTGATTTGCAGTCACATCACGGCTGCAGCGATCTATTATACTCAAGAACTTTCCTCTACCATACTTCCTCCTTCCACTTTCATTTATTTGAATACAGCGCTCATTTATCCAAACACTCAGCTTTTTACTTTTTAGCAGTTGTATTTTGCGGTCTGACCTTGTTGATGGTGACCAGCTGTGAAATATTCAGGTTGATCATAACTGCACATTTTTCTATAAAAAAAAAAATCTGAACTGCATGTGTCACGATATATTTTTAGTTTTCCATTTACTGTAAATCATTAGTTTATAATAGAAACTTTTTTAAATATATCTCTGATTTTGAGGCTAATATGAGTCACAGTTTCAATACACTGAAATAAATACACTTCTTAGTTTTTTTTTTATTTATTTACTGAGATGCATCTGTATATATTATATTTGTAGGTGAGATTGTTTGCTTTTGTTTTGGGGCTTTTGTTACTTGATCAAATAACTGAGACACATTGCACATCAAAGATAAGGTATAGATAAACCATGCAGCAGAGATTTTGGTTTCACAAGTGATGTGTTTTTTTTTTAGTTCTTTTATAGACTGATTCTACCTCCCCCCCGAAACATTTCTGTTTTCACATCCTACAGTGTGCTCTTCTAGTTCAAACGCCTGCCTCCCCCAGCTGTCTGACTCTGGGTTTTTCTGGCTTTCTCTTGACGTTGATCAAACCCCAGTGAAATTTCTGGACAAGTCACTCCATCCAGACTAGCTTTTTGTTTTGTTTTTATTTGACCTTTTCTTTTTCTTCTTTAACCTCTCCCTGTGATTTAGTTCATAAGTTTCCATTTTGTTCAGATTGCAACCTGTGCACTCTTTATCTATGAAAAAAGATGGATTGGACTGTTAAATAAATCATATTACAAAAAGTATGAAGATTTAATCCTTGTCTTTGATTTTTTTTCCCGTTACTGTATCAAATATAACCAGTTCAATCAGAGATTTTCAGTGCACAGGTATGCGACATTGTTTCCCTGCTCCATTGCTTATTATTTTTCTGCGTGTGTTCTGACTCTGACATGTATTCAGATCTTGTTTGTTCCTTTGCCTTTTTATATGTTAGCTCAGGAGCTCACATTTCAGTTTGCAAATTGAAGATTTTGTCCTCATATCTGCTGTTTCTCGAATTTTCCAAAATGCCAGAAAGAGCTTGGAATTCTTTTGTGAATGAGGGGGAAAAATGAATGTAAAGTAAAAATGCAACTGATGCCTAGTTATACCTGAATATTTTGCTACTACTTCTTTTACTATTAAACTGATTTGTTTTAGACAGTCAAGTTATAAGCTATGTAGAAAAACCCCCCTGAGCAGCTTTTGTCCCTCGAGTGGCTAAAAAAATCATTTTTTTTTATCTGCCTAGGAATAAACCTAGTGTCAGACAGCTCCTGGATTAGAGAAAATGAAACAATTAACCACATTTTACAAAATAAAAGGCACAATAGTACTTTAAATGGCAGAAAAAGCACCTACCTGTCATACAGGTTTACCATGAGCCTCTGCTGCATGTGTTTCCTTTTTTTTTTCTTAAACCCATAATTTGCATGCTTCTTTTTTTTTTTTTTTGCTTCATTTTTATCTCCAGTGTCATATTTTCAAATGGCCCCATCTTTTTTTTTTTTTTTTTGTGCCCTGTGTTTGGTTGGATCCACTTCCTGTGTGTGTTGTCATTTCCTGTCCAGTGCTGGAGTTTGAGCTACGGAAAGCAAAGGAGACCATTCAGGCTCTGCGCGCCAACTTGACTCAGGCAGCAGGTGTGGCGTACTTTTAACTTCTTCTCCACCTCAACCCTTTTTGTTATGGTTTTTTCTCCCTCTTTTTTTCTGTTACAAAGAACTTTATGGAGAAAGCCGCTTGTTTTTTTTACCGCCTCAAACATTTTTTATTTTCTTAATTTCTCAGAAAGTGAAGTGCCCTCTCAGGAGAGAAAAAACTTCAAATCAAGTCCTGAAATCCAGGTAGGGAATTTTTCAACGTAAATGTACTTAATTGAACCTAGAAGATGTGACCTGAAAATCTTGAGCTAAAGTTTTGTCTTTTTCTTTTTTTTCTTCTCTTTCCTTCATCAGGAACCCATACGCCCACTGGAGAAAAGAGCCTTAAACTTCTTAGTGAATGAATACTTGTTAAAAAATGAATATAAACTGTCAGCCATCACCTTCTCTGATGAAAACGATGATCAGGTTTGAAAATTAATCAATTTAAAAAAATTCTTTTCCTAAAGGTATAACGGATGAGTCAAGATTTCATCCTCTTATCTATTGTTTCTCCTTCCAATCTTTGTGACCTGCTCACCTAAGGCCATTTTTTTCACACTCGATCCTTGACCGTGTCCTCTTGCTGCACATGTGCATTTCTAGTGCTCATGTATCCAATAGGATTCTAAATCTGTGGCAATTCTAAAAAAATTGTAATTTATCTTCTGTCTTCAGGCGTTGTTCACTCACACGCACATGTGAAAGCTGTTCCCCCTGAGAAGCAAAAGAGTCGTTTAGATGATCTTGAGCATGCACAATTATCTAAAAAGTGTCTTGGGTGTCTCTTAACTACATTTATGAAAAAAAAAACAAAAAAAACATCCACTATGCCTTTAAGGAAGAGAACTTCAAATGTAGCTTTCTGCATATGAGGGCAGAAACAAATGCAACAGATCAAATACTTTCTACTGATTTTTGTTTGGTATTTATTTCAAGGACTTCGAGTTATGGGATGACGTTGGTCTCAACATCCCGAAACCCCCCGACTTGTTGCAGCTCTACAGGAACGGCGGCAGCGTGCTCTGCTCGCCACGGGACAAGGTAGACGCTTCTGTGGGGGTGGTTTTTGGTGATCTTCCAGGAAACTGCGTTTCTAGAGAGCCCCAAAAGAAGCCTGACCTGTCACAACAGGTATGCATCCACCTTTCTGCATATCTGTAATCAAATTATTTTCTATCGGCCACCTTAGTACAACCTTGCATAATGTCTGTTACAGCATCCCTGTTTAAAAACAGTCCATTTAAAATGATAATTTATTGCAGATATTATATATTTTGCATCACCAGACAAAAAAAATCTTCAATAGTTCTTAAAATTAAAACATTAAATTTTACCTTTTATTTAAATACCATTAGGCCATAACGAAAATGAGCTTAAATAAAACAAAATCAACAATTATATTCTTAAAATATAAGGAGTAGTAAGTAAAGATAATTAAAAAAAAAATGTAAAGAGTAGAAGTAAAAAGTTCTTTTATAAATAATTAGCCCAGTAAAGTATAGATACCGGTAGCTAAAATTTCTACTAAAGTAAGGAAACAAAGTATTTGTACTTTGTTACTTGACACCTTTGCATGGCAGCGTAAAAGAATGAAGGCATCTGTCTAAAAAAGAGATTAGAAATAAGAAAACTGGCTCTAAAGTGCTTCGAATGATGTTGTAGAACAGGTAAGACACGGTTTAAAGGGCCAGCATAGTCTGTTCAGCACAACACAGATTATTTCCACTTAAAGGAATGTAGAGGAGCCAAAACTGACTTAATAAAACACTTTTTTTTTCTTTATAAGTCTTAGAACATTTTCACAAGTCGAAGTTTTGAACATTTTGAGAAAAAAAAAGTGTACAGAGAAAAATATGTTTGATGCTAGTGCAGGAATTTGGATTTTCTTTATCATAATGCCACTAAATGTTAAGCACCATAACTGCATTTCTGGTAACCTTTTCTGTTTTCTATTTGTCATTCATTCAGAATGCACAGAAGAAAGACTCTGTTCTCTTCATACAGATAATAAAATAGCCTTCGTCTTGAGTTTGGTTTATGTAGCAAAAACTTGTTTTACTGATCAATGTTTTTATCGAGTCCAAAAACTGCCAAAGTGTCTTTATATTTGAGTAATAGTTGTTGACCTGAATCGTAAGCATTAATAGACCCACCAACATAAAATGTTAAACAAAATATTGCCAGTATTTAACATCTTTACAATTATTCTCTAAATTTGAAAGGTTTCCACCACATTTGCAGCTTAAAGTTGTTTTGGTCTTAAAAACAATGCAATGGTATTACATTCTAAGTAATAATTCCTGTATATACCCTGTATAGTTACTACTTTAACAAATAGTGTACTGAAGCAGCTTTTTACCCCAAATGACCAATTTTGTTTCATTTTTCTCCAGCAACAGTCAGAAGTTGTTCAAGAACTGGAGTACCAGCTGAGCCTCCTGAGCAACGAGAAGCAGAGCCTTGTTGAGCAGATCAAGAAGCTGCAAAGGTGCTTTCAAACAACTCACTACTTTTCTCCATGGGTTTATATATTCTTTTAAGGCCGATTATGCTTTTGGAAATTCTTAAATAAATGTCCCCAGTCTTGATTTTTATATTTTTTTATTAACAGATTCTATTGTTATTTGTTTGTTCATCTTTGTTCACAGTGAGATTCAGACCCTGAAAAGGAGCGTCTCCTCTCCACCTCCACCCTCTCTGGAGCTGTGCTCCCAAAATTCACCACACCTCTCCTCCTCAAGCACCTCAAAGGCTTGTTCCACTAACCCTCCTTCTGTGGTATGTGGTTTATTAGGCAGATTATGTAAACATGTGTTAGAGAATAATCCTTTAAGCATATATTTTCATACTCTTAGCCTTCTCTAGATAATGGTCATTATCTAGACATCCGAGGGGTTTCAGAGGCTGAAAATGACCTGGTCTCGCCCTCCACTCAGAACACATCACCGCCCCAACAACAGACCTGTAACAAAGTTACTGGGCAACCCCACGTCCAGTTTGATCAACCAAACAGGTGAGTGGATATGAATGCAAGAAAAAAACAAATGTCAGATTTATCACCTGTATATCTCCCTGAAATCCATACTGGCAGTCAGCTTTAGCTAGCCTGACGTAGTCCGACTCAATTCTAGTCAGAATATGAGTCTGATACTGCTCCATAGAGCTGTGATTATGGGGCGTGTTTCGAACGAACCAGAAAAAAATGCCTCTGCACTCAACTGGATAGACCTACAACCAATAAGAGCAACGGAGTGCATGACGTATGTTAAGCGAGGCATAGTTGTTGTCCACAAAAATCAAAGCGTGCAGTTTCACGCCTAGAATAAGAAGATGAGACTTGATCGCGTTTCTCTGTTCCTCTTTTAAAATTAATTTGCTGTCGATATCTTCTAGAACAGACCTAATAGCAGAATCTACTCACCCAAACTCTCCAGCGGCAGCCATTATTGTTGTCACCCAAGCGCGCTTTGGTCACGTGGTTGATAACGTTACTCTAGATCATCTGTCCATCATCGTATAAAGCCCACCCTGACAATTTGATTGGATCGCCTGACAGTGGGCAATAATACTCGCGCTACTATGGAGCAGAGCCAGACCGAACTTCCCCGAACTCAAACCTTGTGGGCGGGACTAAGTTCGGACTGGCACCCAGGCTAAGCTTTAGCTGCAGTTTCCAAGTTTAATTTCACCACTTAACAGTCTAGACTGGCTGAAATGCCTCAAATTGATTGTCAAACCCTGGATATTGTTTTTCTCTACATAAAAGATTCTATGAAACACAGTTTGAGTTGTTATTTTAATTTTTGTAATGAAATATCTATCAACATTGACACGCCAATGGGCAATTTGAAATGGAAGAAAATCTTTATTGCTATAATGTATTCCTCTGTTCATATATGACTTTAGATTTTCTCTATGAAAGACAAACATTTTAATTTATTCTTTTTTTCTTAAGTGTCTCCTTGAAGTTTTCCGAATACAGTCAGCCACTTGAATCAATAAGTGGGGCCCTGAATGTTGTCAAAAACACTGATTATAAATGTATCTGCCTCTTCTTTACACAGGGGTGTTCTGAGAGTAGATGTTATCAATGTATGTTTATTGGAAGCATCCATCTTGGGTACCATTGGAGTTTGTATGTTTCATGAAAAAACAAAAAAAAAAATGGCTGGGTTACCTGTTAATGAAATGCTTATTAGTTGTGAGGAAATCCCAGAAGGAACAATGCAAGCAGCATATGTTTCCCTAGCTATTCTTTTGTTGCCTGTGTACCTATAAAAGACATATGGATAAAACCTAGGCTTATGATTTGATTACTTTGACAGGTTTTTTTTAGCTTATTTGTTCATTTTTCAATCGTAAGTTCAAAAAGTGTGGGATGTTAAGATGAAACTGCAATTTTAAACTATGGTGTAGTTGCATGACATATCCACTAGATGGTAGTAGTTGTTTGGTTTTGCAACCATGAGGTCTGCCCTCTTGTGTAATAACATGTTTTTACTTTGCTGTGAAATTGGAGAGTTCTATTTAATCATTGTGTTAAACATATTTTCTTACATCTTTTACCTTCATGTAGTGTTTCAACCATTAGAGAATATCAGAACTAACTGTCTGCCTTACATATATAAACCCAGAAGACTTAATCTTTAAAAATTCAATATCTCTAAATTGCATGTGCACAAAAAACATCAGGTGTGATAAGTTGGTGTTTTGCATCTACAAAGATTGGATCTGCAATCAATAGCAGACCAAGAACTGGTTGTAGATAGATAAAGGAGTTTTTGTGTGCTCCTGACATCAGGAGTGGCCATAAAAGACAAATAAAGTTCTAAGTCTGAGTGGAGTTGAAGGTAATAATGATAAGTTATTGAAAAAAAAAATATTTCTATTGCACTTTACATTAATGTATCTTAAAGTGCTGCAAACGAAGTCGTGGGAATGGAGCTATTTAAAACACTAATGTCTTAATTTTGTGTGTAAAGCAGACAGCAGTGGCATTAGAAAATTGCAGCACTGTAGCCCTCTTGCAGCTTGGCTCTGGTTGCACCTCTGTCATTCCGTGGTAAAGGCAATAGCCAAGTTTCGTTCGGAATTAGGAGGAAAAAGTTGAACACTGCACGATAATAATGGTTTCCCAACTTCACTTATTTTTGGTATTCCAGGAAGTTATCTCCAGCCTTCCAGCAAGCCTTGCTGTCTTTCTGCAGAATGTGCTCTGACAGTCGACTTGGAGCAGAGGTCAGTTCCTTGAAATATAAAAAAAAAAACAAACAATAGATTAAAACTCAGCAGAAGCTTAGAAGTATCCCTCTGTCTCCAGGTTTCTCGTATAGCCGACAGCGAGGAAAGCGTGATGCTGATGCTGGGCCGCTGTCTTCCTCACATCGTTCCCAACGTCCTCCTGGCTAAACGAGAGGTAATCCTCCTCCTCTACTCCCCCCTTGTGCTTCTCTTCCTCGCCTCCCCTGTATCCATTTTATCACACGCATCTTGTCTTTATATCCAATAGATGCACACAAAGCAGCAGAATTTAGCAGGGATCTTTATTGGGAGTTACAAAGACAAATTCTGCTCTTCTATCTAAGCTGTGCCAACATACATTTTATGGGAACTAGTCCTAAACCTTTAGGTCTTTAATAAAGTTCTGGTTTTTTTATAGTTAATTTGTTGTGTCTGTACATTTTATATATTACTTAACTAAACCTTAAGAAACCTAATCCCTATGATCTGCTTTTTCTTTAAATCGTCTACTGTGGCAGGATTATTTAGTGCATTTTCTTCAGATTAGCACATCTTCTTTTTTGCTTTCAATAGTCTCAAAAATCTAACATACCTGTTATGCTGCAATATTAAAGTCTTGGAGCTTTCTAATGTTCTGAAGAGCGGTTCGCCAAAAGTTGTTTGTACAAAATCGGCACAGAGCACCTTTCTTTTATTTTTATTTTGTTTGTTTTCTGATCAAGTAAATGTTCTGCTGCGGTGTGTCTCATCTATTGATCTGAAATGCCCTCCTGTTTAAAGGGGACATTTGTTAACGCCTGCCATCGTGGTCATTTCTCTGCTACTACTTTGGATCGCTCTGTCACATTTGCTGGCCTTTCACTGGTTTTTATTTCTTTTCCTCTTTTCGTCTCACTCATTCTCTCACTCTCATGCATGCCTCTCTTCTAGAGAATGGTTTCACATCTTTGCCAGGTGAGTCTTTTCGTGCACTCATCTTAACAGTTCTGACGTGACCCATAGGAAAAAAAGCAGCTAATGACCAACCCACCCCTAAAGCTACAACTGCTAAAAATGATGCCAAATGAGTAAAACTGAGTAAATACTTAGATGTTATAATTCATGAAAGGATTTTGCATCACTTGAAAGACATTTAGTTTACAGTCCTGTAATACAGCAGTTTTAGCTTTTTGGGGTTTTTCTTGCTTTCCTTTGCTAATGTTCCTGCGTTTTTGCTTTGCTGTGTCTAATGTTTAGGTTTTATTATGAGTTAAACAGGAAAAAAATATATACACAAACCTATTGTGTATACTAAATATACAATTTATTTTGAAATGGTATCATGCAATGCCTCAGATAAATATTCATACCTATTAAACCTTTTAAAGGCACTAGCATCTGTTTTTTAAATGTGTGATAACAATAGTGTCCTGGTTTTTAAGGCTTTTGCCCACATGCAGAGCACACTCAGGAGATCCGGTTCAGGTTAAAAGAATTTATTATAAGAAAAAGGGAACAAGCTTGCGATCGAGTGGTGCACCGTAGTGGGATCCGGAGTGATGCATCCTCGGGGTACAGGAGACAAAGCGTTAGGACGGGGAACGAGAGCGGTTTGTGAGACAGTGGCCTAATGAGGCATACCACACTCGGTTAACACTGAGGGTTATCTGCTTGCAGCCTTACGCTATATTTGCCTCCCATCATCAGCACAAAACGCGGATCAGCTGCACGTCCCGGCCGTCCTGCCAATCACCGACCACCACAGAAGGAGAGGCTGCAGCGGACTGACAGCCGCTTCTCACACCGGATCCTGACAAATAGATTGTGAAGGAAATATTTTTACAAAGAAAAATCCTAACCCTTGCTGGAGGGCTAGCATCTCCAGGTGTGATGCTGCCACCATCATGATAATCCATATTAACTGGCGAGCGTGATGTTTTCTGCTACATGCAGCGTTTTGAGTGTAGGTCCGACCTCTGTGATCTTCAGATTGCTGAACACAAATGCACACCTCTCTTTCTTCAGAAGTAGTTTGTAGAAAAAAAAAAAAAAATATATATATATATATATATAAAAAACGGATAATTTCCTCCCATTTAACTGAACACCACTGCGCGTTTGTCTACCACAAATGTGAATAGATCAGAAGAATATGAATATATGTACAAGGCATTGTAAGTAGTTATTTTAGCATATCTGAATCAAATATTACTGCATTTCTGCTCTTTACTTCATTCAGACAGATAGGCATAGACAAGGTATCCTCCTAGTGAAAAGGAAAGAAGCACACACACACGCACAGGTTTACATGGACTACTTGCATGCGATTTGTGTTTATCACAGCCGCAAACAATTTGAATTTTTGAACAGTGAAACAATACAGTAAATCTTGTGGTAGTCAAAAAGAGGTAAGTCTGGTTTTGCTGTAATAACTTGCTTTGCATATCACCTTGGTAAAGGAGGCGAAATCAACCTAAGGCCATTCAGAGGCTTATAATCTCTAAGCTTAATCAAGGTAAACAAAGAAAAGGGAGAAGTTGGTGAGAAGTTGAATTATAGCCGGAGGCTAATACTTTGGAGCCCCTCTTTAGTGTTGTGGACTTTGCTCTGTGTCAGTTAGATTCACAGATCATTACCCCATAGATTCATTTGCAGATGCAGCTGCTCACACTTCTGTTTTGCAACTTAAGACTCTGTGACCACCACAAGTCTGAAGACCCGCCTTTTGTTAAAATGTGACAGCCAGTTGCAGACAAAAGGTGTTTGACCTGAAACAGTGAGTCGTTTCTGACTGCCTGCCACCTGGCTGTATTATCAGACTCTGTAAATCAGTAAACACCATGTTTTGGTTCCAGGTACAGGTCTCCATTGTAGCAGTGGAATTCCAATTGCATCCTATTTGAGACCACCCTTCAGTCTTTTCTCTGCTTTTTACTAAAACAACAACTTCTCACTTTTGTTCTATAAAAACTATAAAATCTAAATGTTTAACTTACGAGAACTTTTTCCTACTCCCATTCATGCAAAGCTTTTACTTTACAAGTATTTTCAGAGACAGGCACCCATTTCTGATCCCCCCGTTTAATGGATTTTTTTTTTTTCTAAATGAAGGGGAAACAAAAACAATCAACTTTTCTATCAATAATCCAAATGTGCAGGATGAGCTGTCTTCTTTTAGTTAAGATTATGTGTGTTGAGGTTATTTTCAAGCAGTTACAATTTCACGGAATAACCTGATTAATTATTAATGATTGATTTCATAGTTCCTTTTTTTCCTTCTGTGTTTTTCCCTGATTCCCTTTTAAACATCCCTTACTGACTTTCAGTTACTCCGTCCACACCCCACAGTGTTGTTTTTGTGGCCCAGCAGTTCTTGGGTGTGGTGCATTCACTGAGTAGAATATAGTTGTGAAATTTAACTTATTCTAATCACAAAACGGTTTGCTGTGTCTCCATAAGAAAAATACATGCTGATTTTCAATATTTATTTATTATTAAAGTATAGAATTCAAGTGGAAATACTGTTATTTAAATCTATTTGGATGAATTACCTGTTCTAGGATGAATTCTTTGGTAATTAAAGGGCCTATATCATGACAAATATTTTTTTTAGGTTTGTATAATATTATAATGCTATTTTAAAAAAAATAAAAGTTGCAAAAATTGCTATTTCCCTTGATTTGTGCATCTCTAAGTAATCCTTCGTTGTACTATCTAAGCAGCAGCCACTCCCTTACTGTAAAAACGAGCAGTTGGAGAATATCTGCATAAGAATGCCCCCATCAGAAGCATGCATCTCATCAGTGTATTGCTGGCTCTGTAAACAAAAGCTCGCTTTGTCCAATCAGGGAGAGGTGATGTTTGGCGGAGTGCAATGGTTCTTGCTCAAAGTAAAGACGAAGTGGCTCTTTCAGCAGCTAATCATTCTCTTTTCTTTTAATTTCGGACCAAGCTTGGATCAGTTATCCTTGCCGAGCTTGGTTCTTACGACCATTTACACATCGTGCTAGCACTATTCCTCGCCTCCTATCAGCGGTCCAAGATACTACAGCTCTGAAGGTGGGAAATTACGTAAAGATACAAGAACTAATGTGCCTGGATACCTCCACCCAAATTTCAATGAGAGCCTCGGTCTTGGCATCATCCCAAATTGCACCACGCTCTTTTGATGCCGATTATTGTTGGTAGGCTAAGAAGAAGTTTTTTTGTGAACAGGTGAAGAGAGCTGTGCGTTGCAAAGCTGGACACACCAGAAAACCTACGCAATGAGTCAGCTGACTTTAAATAGTAGATAATGGGGTCTGCTCATGCACTCTTTGTTATCAGAGAACCGAGCCACTGATGAACTGGGCCGAGCGCTACTGCTGAACTAGTACCAGATTTAGCGGGGTTCGGTTGTGTCTGTCTGGCACAGTCTAGTTCAGTTGAGTTCCATTTACACTCAACAGTTGTATCATTTACTGTGCTCGGACCGTTTTTCTGCAAGGTTTCAAAAGGGTAGCATCAATGGGGCTATAGAATTTGTTCAGCTTCAGGACTGGTGTGATACGGCATGACTTAAGCCCCATTTACACTACCCTCTGAAAGCCGATCCGTGACGAGCTTGGTTCCGTACGACCATTTACACACAACTCTCACGATTCATCACCTCCCAGTGACGATCTATGGTACTACTTCTCTCTAGAGGTAAAAAAGCAAACTGACATGGCAGCGCCTTTAACATTCAGGAAGTTTGAGGAGAGTGAGGCAAAAATGGCAGCCTTTGGTGAATTTGCTTAACAAGAGTTTGCTTTGGGAAGTGGATATGACAAACGATAGTCTAATCAGGGCTCCCAGAAGCAGGAAAAGACAGTGGGGGGTCATCACACTGCTAAGCAGAATCATCACTAGAAATCCTGTGGCACGGTAGGAAGCCAGTATTTTTATGAATGTCTGAAATTTCATGATTACGGAGGCTGACTGTAAGGTCACAGTCTGCTCATGCGCTCTTTGTTACCTGAGAACTGAGCCAGAACTGAATCGCAGACTGCCCTACTGATGAACTAGTAGAGGTTCGGTTTTGTCTGGCGTGGTCCAGTTCAGTTGTGCGTGCCATTTACACTCAACAGTTATCTCTGTTACAGTGCTTGGACCGATCTCAGCACGATTTCAAAAGGGTAGTACTGTATAAATGGGGCTACAGGTGACATCAGGGTGGGGGAGGCAAATTCGCTTTGAAAGCAAGTGAGTTTCTTCAGAAATTAAGGGAAATAACTAAAATGAATTAAGAACTGCTCAATTCTAAGGGATAAGTTTCATCATAGATTCTACTTTTAGGTGACTTTAAAAGGCTTAATTCATTACATTGGACCTTTAATGGACACTTAAAAAGATTAGAGTAGAGTTATAGATTATTATATAATTGGTTGAATGTACAATGGTTTTCTAAAAGTTTTCTTAATCAAAACAATGTGATAAATACCCACTGTACAGCATCTGCTTGTAAGAGGTTTGATATGGCATCATCGGAATCTGCTCTTAGCCAAGACTCTTATGCCAGCTGCGCCTTAAAGCAAGCCAAGCATTTCATTTGCATCACAGTTGTGTGGAATTTGAAAAGCTGTTTTAAATCAAACTTCTAATATTTTTGTCCATACTCTGGTCTTTAATATCAACCAGTATGTGTTAACTCTGGGGCCAGAGACAAACTGAATCGATGCCTCTCCTCAAATACCAATCGTCCCACAGTGTTTCCCAGAACAGGTCAGTTTATTCTGTCCAACCCCCTGAAGGAGTCTGTCTTTCTGAAACACAAGGATTGATATTTTGAATAGAGTCATCAGTTGTTTCTAGACTCTGATGGGTTTACATCTATGAATTCCAGCAGATGTTTGAACGAGCCTTTGAAGGCATTTAGAAAACTGCTCTCATGAAGTTATTCTCAGACGCCAAGACAAAAGAAATGATTGAATGTGACGGGTTAATTTGTCTGAACTCAGTTTCTTAACAAGTTCTGGACACATGAACTGATTTCCCCCAAACTGAACTTTTCATTAGAAACTTTAAACACCCTGTGATACTTTATTATTGGGTTTTTAACTTTGTAACAGTCAGCCAGCCTGGCTAACTTTCACAGGGTGCGTCCAACACTGACGAGTGACTCACCAGAACCCTATCTTTACCCAGTTCTCTCAGTAATGTCCATTTAGTGTAGGCTCCCCCAGAGTTTGGCAAGAAGATATTCTATCTTCTCGGAAAGGAAAAAAAATATATTTTTAACTCCATTTTCAGTCTTTAATTTTGGTGTGTTTGTAGGGAATGTAGGACTGACCGCATTTTGGCCATGGAGGCCCTCTATCAAGGGCAACTGAGCTCTCTCCCTTCTGGCTAGAGGTCCCATGAACTCTGCCTGAACTCGGATAAAGCTCAGATTTAGGAGGGGAGCTTGTATGTTATGTGTGTCCATATCCAGCTGTGTCTGTCTGTGTGCATGCAGTTTGCAAATGTATGTGCCTCTAAATGTGTGTGTAGGATTGTGACTACAAAGCTGATTGAGTCCTTGTAAGACTGACAAGATATTGACGGTAAGCAAGTGTTCTGTGTTCATAGAGGACTTTTATTTTCCAAAAGTTTGTCCCATGTATTGTATTTTCCTTGTGATTTTCCAATTTTTTTTAAATATTTCACCTCTTTTTCCATTCCTGCCTCTCCAGTAATTGACTGGCCTGCTCGGTGTCTATTAAGCCACTTTTTCCTCTTGTTGTTTAACAAGCTCTGGTTATGGAAGATGACTTATATAATGTGAGATCCTCTGTCTGTCCTCTTCTCACCCATAGGAGCTGATTCCCCTCATATTATGCACAGCATGCCTTCACCCAGAGCCTAAAGAGCGAGACCAGCTCCTCCATATCCTCTTTAATTTGATCAAGAGACCAGATGATGAGCAGAGGTGAGTTTTTACCATCCTTCCAAAATGAAAAAATAAAAAATAAATGGATGATCAAAGGGAAGTTTTATTAAACTACCCACTTTGTGTTTATGTAGACAAATGATCCTGACTGGTTGCGTTGCATTCGCAAGACATGTGGGTCCGACCCGGGTCGAAGCTGAGCTGCTTCCTCAGTGCTGGGAGCAGGTACTCTTAAGAGTTTTTTTTTACTTTCAAATTGTATATAAGAATCCTACATAAAATATTTTTTAAATTATTATTATGTGGAAGATTAATCTCAACCCCAGGTTTTAGTCTTTTGCAGCCCACAGTAAACAGTTATGGATTTTTTTTTTTTTTTTTTTTATAAAAAAAAAAAAAAAGGTGACAGAACCTTTTAACAGCTGCCCAGGGACTCTGGCATCCTCCCCTATTTGCAATGTTAAGAGTTTTGGAGCTTTTGGAAGCACAACTGAAGACAAATTTTTTAACAGGTGCACAATCCAGATCCATTAAAAAAACCCTGTACAGAGATTAGCTCCAACCGTTTGCCTTTCCAGCTCCACAACAGAGACTAGGAGTCACTTGATCACCAGTTAATTCAACAGGATGAAGGAGACTAGGCAGGGTTTTTACTTTTTGGGCTGGACTTATCCACCTCTGCATATTTTAAAAGCCAGTTTTTTTTTTTGTCCTGTTTGTAGCTGCATCTATCTTTCCATGTACTCTGAGCACCTTACAGCGTTTTATAAATGAAACTGTTCCCTAAGCATATTCTGTCAACAACAGATTTTATGTCAGGGATGATTCATCCAGAATGAATGAGAACATGAGAGTTCTATGCCCAGAACACCTTCTTCCATATCTTTACTAAGGTTGTGGTGTTTACGTTATATTTCAAATGCAGTTAATGGTCCAGGCCTAATTATAAGTGTGACCCCTGCAAGCTGCAAACTGGGCTTCTGATTAGTGCTTTCCCAAGGCCAGAGCTTCAGTTTAGGTGAACAAACTTACCTTTAAAGGTTTTAAGTTTTGCCTCCCTCTTTCCTTATTGTTTAAAGCTCAACTTTTGAAATTATGAATTAATTATATCAGACACAAATGTACTGCATTTACTAATTTGGGGATCTCAATAGGTTTTACTAGATTTTATTCAAGGTTAAGACTGCTGAGTGCTTCTGAACGCCACACTTTTTTTTAGCCTTTCATTGGTGATGCATTTTGAAAAATGTTTCCTTCTGCTTTACATTTGCATAAAGGAGTAGTATTCTAGTTATGCTGATCATTGAAATAATTAACCATCAGATAACCATATATGTTCATTTCTGTTCTCGTTAACTCTGAACAATGATTATTTTCTTCTTTTTCTGGGGACTTCAATTTTAAGTGATCACTTGGTTTTAGGGAAAAATCTTTTTAAGGCTGTTCTCTGATTTTGGAAGTTGTTTTTCGATGCTTTGTGAGAGACCCTGACATGAATGCGATAGCGGTTTTGTTTTTATTGCCACCTGTCTGACCACAATTTTTGATAAACTTACTCCGTTACCACGGTGACAGCCACTTCTAGCCGGTCAGATCCTAAGAATTTGCAGACAGAGACAAATCTGGGTTTCCACAGGGTCAGGATGTTTTTTGGTATGCTATTTGTTTCCATTCCATTGTGACTACATCTCTGTCTGTCTGGTTTCCTTTTCAACTTATGTTCCTCTTTTACATTGAACATTTCCATGTGTACGTTTGGCCTTCATAGATTAACCACAAGTATCCTGAGAGGCGGTTATTGGTGGCTGAAGCCTGTGGCGCCTTAGCACCTTACCTGCCTGTAAGTTTACACTCTGCACAGTGTACAGTGACAAATGTGTAAGACAGTGATGCATAAAACTCACTTTCAACTTCTTTGTCGTTTTTTTTTTCTCCAGAAGGAAATTCGAAGCTCCCTGGTGTTGTCTATGCTGCAGCAGATGCTAACTGAAGACAAGGCTGACATGGTCAGAGAGGCTGTGGTCAAAAGTTTGGGTATTATAATGGGGTACATCGATGACTCTGACAAGTACGCCCAGGTATATAATTTACCAAAAAAAAGAAAAGAATTACCAGAGATATTTGACGGCTTTAAAGGATTTTTTTTTTGAGTGTTTTAGGATTTCTGTCAATCTGCTGTTTTGTGCATTGCAGGGATGTGAGTTAATGCTTCTGTCCCTTGGGGACCCGTCAGAGCGGGTGGTCAATGCAGTCCACCAGGTATTCATCCCTGCCTTTGCTGCCTGGACCTTAGAACTGGGCAACCTACATACTGCACTCATACCTTCCCTACTGGCTCGTATAGAGAAACTGCTTACAGTGAGTTTCTGAGTGTTGCATTATAAAATCTCTATACTCTGATGTTGGTTTCCTTTCATTCTATTGGGCTCTTTTTTTCTCTACAGCAGGGAGAACATGGTCTGGATGAACACAAACTGCATGTTTTTCTCTCAGCTCTTCAGTCCCTTATTCCCCCTCTGTTTGCAGTGGTGCTGCAAAACGCACCCTTTACAAGTAGAGCCAAACTCCACGAAGACATACCTGCAATAGAAGGTAGAATGGCCCAAATACACACAGATCTCTTGTAACAAAGATTTCAGTCTGTTTGTATAAACTTTAACATGCATCTGGAATGAATAAGCAGCATTTTTTCTGTTTTTGTACCTTTTCATGTGTTATAGTGACCAGATTTCCAAGGCCAGCCTCTCCTCTCCAGGATATGGCTATTATTATCGGCAGCAGAGAGCTCCTTAGCTCCTTATTGCTCCTTTATGACCACCAGCTAGAGCATGAGGGGACCACTGGTTGGGAGAGCCTTCTTTGGGTAGTCAACCAGCTGTAAGTGATGCACAGAAGAACTTCATGTGAAACCTATGATAATTTTGACAAGTTTAAATTCCTATTTGTAGCTTATTCTATTGATTAAACCTATTTGGATTTATGATTATTTCTTATTTATTTATCTTGGAATCCAACTGCTGTAAACTGATAGACTTCTAGCCTTCCACAAGGGGTAACAAATTAATAAGGGAACCTTCGGCAAACCTTCTCGCCAGCTCTATTCTGGGAAACGGAGGCTGTAGTTTGAGCTTCTCACTCTATCCGAGTCCAGCCACCTTCTGAATGAAGCTCGTTTCCAGGATCTTGTTCTTACGGTCATTGTCCATATCTCATGACCATAGAGGAAGGTCAAGACATAGACGGTTCAGTTATTCGAGAACTTTGCTTTTGAAACTCTTTTCTCTTTTTATTTTACTAGAGCCTGTAAAGCATCAGACAAATTAGAGCACAGATTGTATCTAGCCCATTTTATACTGATACCCCTTTCTGAAGTCCATTACAGTGCCAATATCAATGACCATGTAAGGGACACAGTCGATGAAAGAAGCATATGCTTTGGTCAGATAAAACAAAACTATATGTTTTTGCCCATATATAAAGATAATACTTTAGATATTATCCAAAACATGGCATCTCAGAACAGTGAAATGTTGTGTTGATTTTAGCATCGACACGTAGGCATGCTATTCTTCAACATGGACGGAAACTGGTCAAAGTTGATTAGAAGGTGGGTGGAGCTTAATACAAGAAAGTCCTGCAAATCAAACCTGTTAGAGGCAGCAAAGGCTTGAAACTGGAGCAAAAGGTAACCCTTTTGAAGAGAAGAACATTAAACATGGAGAAATTGCTGCTTAGATTGAAGCATGTGCGTGTGCTTAGGCACATCCCCAAGAAAATCTGAGAATCCATGACTACACCTAAAAACACTTCTGGAATCTCCTGGCTCAGCTTTAGCTTTTTTGCAAAAATCTGTTTTTAGTTCTTTTGGGAGAAAGCCAGAAACATTCTAGCTATGATTGCAGAAACAATCTAAGTAAAGACTCAGCTGTTCTCCATGCATGCCAAAGTTTTCAGATTTCTAGATGATGAAAACTTCAAAAAATTTGTATCACTGTGCTTTATCTCAAAAACCCAGTAAAGAACAATTCATTTTGTGGCGGTAACATGACAAAGTGCCTTTGATTAGAATGTCTGTTTAATGGCTTATTGTGACAACCCTGATGAAAGAAGCATCCCAAATGATTCACATAATAGATATTCTTGATTTATGTATTTTTCTATGTTTTCTTAGCCTTCCTCAACTCATAGAGATTGTGGGTCGAATCAATGTGACTTCATCAACCTGTGTTCACGAGTTCTCACGCTTTTTCTGGAGGCTCTGTCGCACATTTGGCAAGATCTTTACAAACACTAAGGTAAAACTCACTTACCTACTATACTTAAATATTCTACTAAACTGCCTCATAGAAAGCACTCTTAAAGTTTTCTATGTTAGATTTTTTTTCTTAACATCTCTGTTTCTATTTATTTATGAGCTGCTTCTATATCTCCACTATAACCGTGGTCCCTTAGAACTCTACCAGTAAAAAGAAATTACTCTAGAAAAGTTTTACCATGTTTTGTTTCCAAAAGTACCACCAATGTTTCACAGCAAATACATTATGGTGTTTAAGAGCCACAGTAGATCAATCACATGGATAAACAGTTTTTACCGTCTTGCACGTTTAGGTGAAACCACAGTTTCAGGAGATCCTCAGACTATCAGAAGAGAATGTTGGTAAGTGTACTTTTACTTTCACTTTTTTTTTTATAGACATTGTTTAAACTGTCTGGAGAAAATGTTGATAGGTGGAGTTTAGACTCCAGACACAACTGATGTAAACAACCTATTTGGGGTCAGTTTTGGGTGTTCCCCTTCGTCTTTTTTCTAGTTTTTTTCTCCTTTTGTGTTTTTTTGTTTTTAATTCCAGAAATGTTTCTGTAGTTATAACAGGGTCCTTGGTCTCATTTAGCCGCCGAGTCATTAAAGCTTTGGTATTGTGGCCATTTATGAAATGTGTTTTCTCCAGAATGTCTCTCGGTGTTGAGGTCATTCTGATCTTTACATAGCATTTGTCCCATTCTGTGGGTTTCTGTAATACCACAATAATATATCGTATAATCATGCCACATTTCCTTCAGGCAAATTCATGCTAACAGATCTTGACTATACTCTAAGATATACTATAGTCATGTTGTTTTTGCATTATATTAATCAATCAAGTACTTAAAAGGAATGACACTGAAAAGACATGTACTGGATACATGTAATAGTTTGAGCGATTCAAGAAACCATTTCATTGTAGTAAAAAACGTGTTTCTTTCCTCTCTGTAGGTCATAAAAGTTTGATTACTAGATTTTGTTATCCTTTTTTTTCTTTTTTTTTTTTTTTTACAGTACATTAGATGCAGTTGTTTGATGTAGCTCTCTCCTCCCTGTGTAGTTCACCTAAACTGGACAATCTGTTTTATTCTGATTTTGTTGCTCTTTCAGATGCTTCTGCAGGAAACGGCATTCTGACCAAAGCCACAGTCCCAATCTATGCCACTGGGGTGCTGACATGCTACAATCAGGTAAATCTATAGAGAGCCTAATTTGGCTTTTAAGTTGACAGTCCGTTTTCCGGCCAATACCAGTCACGGGTTTACAGTACTTTGAGATTCTCATTAGGTCTTTCTTTTATTTATAATGAACAATATATCAGCATCAACATCAATATTGGCACAAGTTGGTATTTTTGAAACGCATATCTATCAAGCCAATAACTATAAATGGATTAATATAAATGAAAGATTATTATTTTTATCCAGTTTCTGTTTTTACTTCAAGAGGGGGAGGGGAGTTGATTGGTCATGTGATGTAGAAAAGGATCATGGGTATTTATCTAAGCAGAGAAGGAATGTCTGCACTTTGGATGTATATAGGATACAAAATAGGTAAATATCAGCTATCAGCCATAACAACTGTATTATTGTCAGATATGGTTTCCTAAATATAATGCAAACAAATACAGTTTATGTGGATTTAGGTTTAAATTCAGCAGAAATTTAACATTATCATATATTTTCACATTTTTCCTGTACAAGTTCATTTGTACCCAACATAAATCTACTTTTAGGCAACATATTTTATTCTTTTAACTAACTTTAAAGGGACATTCTGTTTGTTGGTGTCTTATGAGGTTGACATTTTTCTAAAGTTTGCTACAAAAAATTATATCCATTTAATTGTGAATTTAGCACCTGCATTGGTACTACTAAAAAATTAGATTGGAGAAAGTGTTTTCTCTTAAATACCTCCAGCCATTAATGAAATGTAAAAAAAAAAAAAAAGTTATGTAATTAAAGTAAAGTTATCATCATTTTTAATTTAACCCTTGAACTTGCATACTAGTGTCAAAAACATTTATGTTTGGCAGATAATTTTTGTGTTATTGTTCATTTCCATACCAACGGCACTAAAACCAACTAATTATTTGATAATTTTGTTCTGAAGGGATTTGCCCTCTAGACAAGGTAAACATTTACAATGCTGTGCTTTTAGCACAGTTCAAAAAAGAAACACTCAAAGTGATTTAAGCTTATATAGAAATTAAATATGTTTCATACTTGTGTGAATATGAAAATGTAAAGGTATTATGTTTTTGTTTTTACAGGAAGAAGATCGCAAGCTTTTGGTGGGTTTTCTGGAGGATGTAATGACGACCCTGTCTTTGTCCCATGCTTCTCTCGACAGCCTGAAGGCTTCCTTTGTAGAACTGGGGTAAGTATATATAATATATAAGATGATAATTGGCTATATTGACAGTTGACGCAACATCTTTATTCAATGCTTCTGTGTGTGCCAGTGCCAACCCAGTGTATCATGAACTGCTGCTGACTGTCTTATGGTACGGAGTGGTCCATACATCCGCTCTGGTCCGATGTACTGCAGCACGAATGTTTGAGGTATGGAAGAAACTCTAATGTAGATTTTTTTTCTTTACATTTCTACTAATATTTAATTTTAGTCACAGACATAATTATTATTTATTAAGCAAAAGCAGTTGGTCAGAAAAGTTAAATATGAAAAAGAAGTAGGGATGTCCCAGTACAGCTTTTTCATTTCCGATACGATACAAATTTTGCGACTTTGAGAATTTGCCAATGCAGATAATGACCCGATATGGTATTAAAACGAATTATAGTAGCTATTATTACTTGTTTTATCAGGCACAATGTTGGAAAAGGTTGATCAAGTAATATCCCTAAAACAGGGAACATAAGTCATCAACAAAAGGTATGAAAACAACTGAGCCATTTAACTTATTTGTTGAGTTAGAGAAACCTTTAACAGATGCAGAGTGTTTCTATTAGCTTGAAAATATCAGAGATTTAAGATAAAATTAGTTGTTTGGCTAATATCAGACAAATATATGATATTAATATCACATCGGGACATCCCTAAAAAGAAGATATGATCAGTTTTATTTTTTTGCTTTATGATTACATATTTATGCTTCATTTGAAGTGTTGCATTTTTGATTATAGAAAAATTATTTATGTTTAAATGATGATTACATTCTAACATTTTTAGTATGTAGAAATTGTCTTCAGCAGTTAAACCTACAGCTAAGTTTTGATAGTTTACATTTATTTTAATGTTCATTTATATGCTGTAACTGTGCTAGCTTTGCTTTTTGCTGCTGTTAAAGATGCATATGGTGTTAAGTTGTTCTCTCCTTTGAGTGTAACTGCAAACTTCAGCTAAATATCCTCACTGCTCTGGCTCCAACTGTATGGCTAAACCCTCCTCAAGCTAACATCAGATCTTTCAATGTGCACTGGAAAGCTTCTAAACGGCACCCTTTAATGAAGCGGATGTTCAAATAAACTTTGCCTTTACTGTTAAGATATCAGATCTTAAGGAAAACATCACTGATCTGCAATAATCTGCTGATTTTTAATGCTGTCTTTGCACATTTAGCTCAGATGTTGGCATAAGGGTCTGGTTATAACAGTTGAATCTGGCCTATTTTTTTTCTACACTCGGGGGAGGAAGAATGGCAAGCTGTCTTCATGTTGCCCCTCTTTTGTAGATTTCTTACCCTTTCCTAAAGCACATCACTGTCACCATCTCATAGTGAAGAGTTGTCCACCACTGATAGGACTGTGGATCGAAGGGGGTGGGTCTTTGCCGCAAATGCCTGATCAAATTCCAAGTTTTAAAAAAAAATGTCTTCCTAAATTTAATTTGATCAAAAGAATTTGATCAGGAGTCTGCGGTAAGAGCCCATGGCGTTAGTAGCTGTGGAGTTGAACCAGTATATGAGTGGATGTGTGTGTGAATGTGTAAAACTTAATGTACACATATTTGCCTGCTGCGTGTAGTGCCGTTCTGTGCCTTGCAGCTATAGTTCTTGTCATTGTATATCACTTTATTCCTCTTTTTTCTGTTTTTTTTTTTCTTTTTTTTCCCCCCTACTTTCTTTTGCTTTTTTGTTTTGTTTGTTTTGTTTTTTTTTTCTTCTCTGTCTTTTGCCGGTGTTGCTCGCTCTTGTCCCAAATGCCCCGCCCACCTATGTGACATCACGGCTGGCTCTGTCCAATCCGATCAGCTGCTGGTGAAGGGGGTGAATGAGACGCTGGTAGCTCAGAGAGTGGTGCCGGCTCTCATCACACTGTCTTCCGACCCTGAAATGTAAGTGGAACAACAGTAAACAATGCTGCGTCTCTTTCCCCCTTCTCTCCGCCGCCTGAGAACTATCACACTAGAACAAGTCTGCACCAGCGTGGAGCAAATTTTACAGCAAAAACCAGATCAGTTGTAACAACATAATTTAATCCTTTCAAGATGTAGGATTTCCATGAGAGCATTTTGCATTAAATTGGCTTTGTTTTTCATTTGAAGTGGCTCCTGTTTGGGTTTAGGCTGTGCTGGGGTGGTTCTACTGCACAACCACTGGTGACACAAATTTTCTGCAAGCCTTCTTCATCAATCTGCAACACTAACGCATGCCAGCGCTCATTGCCTCATCTGTCTTTAACACTAACCCATTCCCTTCAGACTGGTGCATGAATACGGCCCAAATCTGCAGCGTCATCCCTGCATGCTCATCTGTTATCCCCTCCCCTCCTCTTCCTCCCCCAACCTTTCCTGGTTCAAAGCAGGGTATCTTCTACAGGACTCTATTGGTGGTTGGTTAAATTTTGCCCCATCTCTCTATTTATCTTCTCCCCCCTCTTCTTTTCTCTGTCACTCTAAAAAACGTAATTATCCCCTCAATCTCTGCCTCTCACTTTCACTTCTCCCTTACCGAAACCTCTCCCACTCTCTCATCCTGCTGTGTGGTGGGTTTGCAGTTGGTTCTTCGAGGCATGAGTGAAGCATTAGTTGATCGTCGGGCGGCTCCAGCCCTAATAACTCTGTGCAGTGGGCCTGAATTGTGAGTCAATCAATACAAAATTAAAAAGACAAACTCTCTGAAATCATTGTCATTTTGTTGGCTGCGTCCTTACAGTGTCACAAAGTTAATTTGTGTTGATTTGCCTTAGAAATGCTATATGTTGCCTATTAGAAAGATGAAGTAGAGCTGAAAGAAGTTTAATGACTAAATTTATAGTCAGCCTGTTGGAATGCAGCCTCTTTCATATCATCCCTCTATGTGCATACAGTCATATATACACACACACAGTTGGCATTTACTTGTACATCAGACCTTCACACTGTTTGACATTTTAGGAGTAGCTGATTCTGTGTAACTCTAAAAAAAGGTTATACAATTCGCAGGTTTTGTAAAATTAATTGTTAAATATAAAGTGAAAAAGATGAATTTGCATTTACAGTGGAAATAATGATAACGTTTTATGAACCTAATAACTCTAAGATGGCTTACGTTAACTTTTGATTTCCTTTTTTCTTGTTCTTCTGTAATTAGAAGGCTAATTCAACTGGACCTATTGCCACATTAATCTTAATCAATACCAGTAATTCTCATCAGAGGCCTTTTTTGTCTGTTTTTGTTTTTTGCATATCTGGTAAAAACATTGTTTTCAACTTAAAGGCACAGTCCAGATTTTAGTTGTTCTCTGCTCAGTACCTTTAAGTAGTCAGTATCATAACTATACCTACATAACAGAGAGAATAGAGAGGGGTATCAGTTTGGAAGCGCCATCTAATAGCAAATATCTATAATCTAAAATAACTCTAGAGCTGTTCTTTATATTTTTACATTGACATTAGCAGAAGGTATATCCCACACAGTGGGTGGATTAAACATGGTTACAATATGCACTTAGTTCAGCCATATTTTAATATCTGTAATTATCCAACAAAGTAACTTTTTGATGAGAGGATGGAAAATGTTATATAGTAGTGTAAATTTAAGTATGGCAAAAACTTAAATGTAAACAACAAACATTTAATCCTGAGTCTTTGTTTCTCTGCAGATACAGCCTTCTTCCAAATACACCATCCTGTAGATTGTTGTAGTTTTAAGTAGCCACTATGTTCTCTGCAGTAGGCAGTGATCCAAACTATGGTTTTGGAGATTAGGATCACAAGAGGGTCGACTGGAAGAGCAAATTTCATACATCAAGGCAGGGAAACCCTGTCAGGGATTCTACAACATGCACCAACTTAAATGAACTAGTGTATGAGATGGTTACATGGAAAGAGTAGGTGTAGGATGCTACGGTTGTCATGCATCTCAGCCACTATCTGCTGTAATGGACTCTTTACATGTTCAGACATGATGCTATGCAGTGTAAGCAGCCAATCTTTGCAAATATCTGATTGAAACGAGGGAGCACTGACATACACTTCAACTGCTTAAACTTTATGAGGTGGGAGTTTTGGATGACAGAAACATCCTCTGAAGGAACTTCCAGTCTCATTTGTCCTTAGCTTGACTTCATACAAATAGAGGGTAGAGCACCCAAAAATTATACTGATGTAACAGTAGCACTGTTCAGTAAGAGTGAGAAGTAGCCATCCAAGAAAACTAAGGTTAGTACTTAGCAACTCGTAACATCAGTTTTACTGTTCCAATATATGTGATAAGACGGACCGAAATTTAAAATCTAGAATTGAATAATTGAAACAAATGATATTGTATTATAAAAATAAGAAATCTTTGTACAAGAAGCACCTTTTCAAAGCAATTTTCTTTTTAAAATAATCCCTTTACCTGCAGTGACAATATTTACTACTTAGTGTATATAAGCTTGACCTCCAAAAGTAACTGTAGGTTCACCAGATATAAAATAAGCAATATTTCTCATTTTGAAATAAAAATTGTGTTTTTGCCTGGTATACTATTGTTTTTAAAACAAGCCTGTTGGTAATCCATTTAGGTTACACACACTAGATGGAGTAGCCAAACATTTGACGAGATTTGCAATATTTTACTAATATATTACTCAAGTAAAAGTATACTACAGTAAATATACTATTAAATGTACATTTTTGGTCAAAATGTTACTCCAGTAAATGTAAATAGTTACTACCCACCTCTACATGCAAACATCCTCCTGTTTCCTCAAAACTCCATATACTATAGACACACCAAAAGCAAATATTAAACTTCTGTCCATCTGATGCAGAAGTTGATCCCCCGTCAGGGACCTTGCTGATGCCTAAACAAATTTATCATTTAGTAATACCATTGATAATATATCGGGGCATTGGCACATGCTGTCAACAAAAGAAACAATGACAGAAATAGTCAAATAATCTCCATCCATGTGCCATGTATTTAATGGTCACACAGAACACCTTTGCTTGCTACGGAGCCTCTTTTTATTACATTTTTGAACTCTTAAGCATAGATTGCAGAGACGTCCTCTGCCATCAACACATTTGTAATATTTCAGTGCTTTGTAAGCTACTTAGAATTGGACTCTAGCATTACCATACCACAAAGTCAGCCCGATAAAAGTACTAAATGCACATATTAAATTATGCTCAACAAGATAATAACCTATTTAAAAACCTAAAGAGAGCTTAATTTGGCCTTGGCTGCTGCCAATTGCTTATAAGATACTGACTACTTTAAAGTACCACATTGATTCTCACTATAGGGACTAAAATCATGTAAAAACGTTAGTTGTCTTGCCATATGAACAACTTCACAGTTAGTTCTTTTCTATGTTATTCAATAGGTAAAACATAACAAGCTCCGTCTCCTCAACCAACTCTTTAATGTCAGGTTTTCTTTTATGTTATCTGCAAAAGGTTGCTGTTTCTGTCCTATAAATGCTAGGAAAAAAAATCATGGTGGCTTCTATAACATTTTATCACTGCTTGGTCATCACTAACCAACCAGTAGGTTGCATTTCAAATACCTGCTTAGAACTGAACTCAGTCAATTATTAGCAGTTACTGTAGAAAATCACCACTACAACTGCCAGTCATAAGCTCAAAGCTAAAAGGCTGTAAAGCAGGTATTATGCACAGCCTGGGCTGCAGAAATCAGGTGCTGGTATTTTGTAATACCTCGTGGGAGTTTGACACTTCCAATTAATTTAAACCAAATGCTACATCTGGTCATAAAATAAGCTGAACATGCTGCAGAGCTTGGACTGATTACACAACCACCAGCTCTCCTATTTGTGGTTTCAGTCAGGTCATTACACTCAAGTACAGCATTTTGATCTAACATACACATGTTAACGAGAGTAGACCTACTCCTTTGTGGTTTTGTTCATTGTGGACTCCAGGTGCCACTGAATCAAGGACTGTGCATAAATATATAGTTAAAGTTTTGGAATCAGGTCGCAGCTTTATTTGAAAAGCTGAAAGTGGCCTGGGAAACCTGTAGGAGTATTTCTGCTGATGATAGCCTCTGCGACCACATGAGAAGTCTTGATGGGATCTGAACACCACAATCTGGTGATTCAAGTGTTTTAAAATACGGGGCATCTTGTTGCAGATAACATTTAAGTCCCTCTGGTTCTGACTTAAAGTGAAACTGTTAAGAATTAGGACAAGTGCCAAAAAAATGACTCAACAGCAGATAATATTCAGTGTTTTCTTGTGTTCCTGCTGTTCACAGATCTGTTAGGATTGCCACTATTCCTGCCTTTGGCACCATTATGGAGACTGTCACTCAAAAAGAGGTAGGAAAATGACCAACAAGTTGAGTGATTACATCTGTATAATGCTGATGCAGTTTAAAACATCTTTGGAAATATGCATTTGTGTTTGTAGCTACTGGAGCGTGTGAAAATGCAGCTGGCATCATTCCTCGAAGACCCTCAGTACCAAGATCAGCACTCTTTGCACATAGAGATTATAAGGACCTTTGGAAGGGTGGGGCCTAACGCAGAGCCGCGCTTCAGAGACGACTGTATGTATCACACACAAACACTGAAAAATTTTTTTCTCTCACAACCCTCTTTAGTACACTTACCTTTTTTTTTGTGTGTGTTTGACTCTTTGTCTCCCTAAAGTTGTTCTCCCACACCTTCATAAGCTGGCATTAGCCAACAACAGCCAGTCTGTAGAAAGCAAGAGGATTGACATCGCTATCCACCTGTTCGAGGCATACAGTGCCCTCTCCTGCTGCTGTATCCTTTTTTTCTTGTCTTGAATTTGTTCCCTTACATAAATCGTAAAACTTTAGCATTGTCCTATTTAGTTCATGTTATTTCTTGAGGATTTAATTATTCTTTGTCATGCTTAGTTTTGATTCAGGGTCAGCTGTTCTGCTTTGCTCCTGAGTGCTGAGCTGGTTGCCGGTACGTATCAGGGTGGCCTCGCTGCCTGAGAGTGTGGTTCACTGTGTACGTTGGCTAGGTTTGTCTGTCATTTGGCAGTATGAGAAAGGAAAAGCAAGCTGCCTCCATTCTGGGGATACAAGTAATTACAGGGTTGGTTGGCAAAGGAAAGGAGGAGAGCGGGAGAAAGTGTGTGAAGAGAAAAGTTGAAACATCAACTTCAGTGCTCTGGAATGGCTTTCTGGATGGTGTCCTTATTTAAGACACATCTGCTTGACCTCTTTTATCCAGCTCTTCTGATTCTTTTCCCTTCTTTGGATGCTCCTTTCCTCCATCAGTGCTGCCGCACCCTTGGTCCAGCACACACAGACAGGGCCCAGCTGGGTAGAAGCTCATTCCTGTGGATTTTTGTTAGGCTGTCATTTTAGTGCTGCCGTGTCCAGGAGGTGTAGCCCTGACCACAGAGGGGATACCTCCCACTCTCCTTTTCTTTTCTTTTTTTCTTGTAATCAATGGGACAAGCTCTGAAGCTGTACATTCCCATGCCTAAAAATACAGATTTGTTCACCCATCCTCCCACATTGGCCCTCAAACGTTTGACATGTGGCAGAGCACATGCAGTCATGGATAAAATGGTAGTGTGCTGAGAACTTTGCCTTTATTCCATATTTTGCTTTTGTTGGTAGGAGAGCTACCAACAGAAAGGGGTTTGAAACAAAACATTTTTAAACAATGTCTGTTTATTTAGTCCTGAACACCAAGAGTAAATAAAAAATAATTTGTATTGCCTAGCAACAAAAAGTTATGATTTCAGTACTACGTTTACTACTACGGTGGAGTCCAAAGAGACACATACTTTATGTAGTTGGGTTAAAATAGGGTCAGTTTGCATTCAGACCAAAAGTGAACATCACCAGGTTATGTTTGGAATTATAGTGAGACTATATCAGTGAGTGGGATCTAGGTCGGGTTGATTGTTCCATACCAGAGCGTGTTTGAGTTTATTCCCACCTGCACAAACGGTTCAGACCAATATACACTTAAAATCCTATCACGATATTGGGCCATATTATTGTGATAAAGATAAAAGTGACAATTTAAAAAATCCCATTACTTCTTTGCAGTCTTTCTTGGGTAACTGTATGGCTGTGACCGCTCACCACTATAATCATAGCCCCACAATCACAAATAATACTCTTAAAGATTATACACACTTAAAATTGGCATCATGACACCAGTTAAATAAAAAGTATGATTTATAGTATTTACCATATTTTCTGGACTAATAGCCACTACTTTCTCCCCATCCTATCAACCATGTGGCTTATAAGAACGTGCAGCTTTTCTGTGGATTTTTTCCTTAGGGAGGAGTCAAAGTTGGAAATTTTAAAAATAAGGGGCTAATTTTCATTTAGTACATGCTAGCAGCAGGCATGCTAGAGAACCAAATTCACACATCTTGACATTTATTTGCCTCATTAGAGCTGCCGAACCAATGAAGAGACTGGGCTCAACTCGTGCAGAGCTGAAATAAAGAGCCAATGAAGCCCCATCTTTCAGTAGAAGCTCTTACTGCTGCGAGCCAGCAAGCTAACGGGAGCTAGCATTCTTCGTCTTCTACTCTAGGGACTACATGTAAAACTCCCCCAGTTCGTTAGACATCAGCGGCTTATAGCCCGATGCGGCTTACATGTGCAAGTTTCCATTTATTTCCAAAAATGTAATGGGTCGGCTTAAAGAGAAGTGCGCTTTAAGTCTGGAAAGTACTGTAATCCTATTGTTCAGGTTTTTCAATGCCTCAGTGGGGAAAAATAAAAGTGTAGAAGGAAAAATAGTGACAAAAAAGTGCTGAAATTTCTGGAATTTTTAATCATCATTGATTTTGATTTATAAAAATAAACGATAGGATACATGCCAAATGCTAAACTGTGGAAACAAACTCATGGTCCAATTAATGTAGACCAAATGTGCCTTAATGTTGTATTTTATGCCTTTTAATCATAAAAAAAATTTCTTATAAATAAATGAATAATAATAATAATATAAATAATTTTGAAATCAGAGAATACTTAAGTTGTTCTTTGCAAACATGTGAAACATTTATTTTTTATTTTTTTTATTTATTCCACTGTGCCCTAGTGTTTGTTTTCTTCTTTTATCTACAATGGCCTTAATAAACAGTAGTAATCCCAACTCTGTTTGTGAAAAGCAAATCCTCCCCATTTTTAGGCTTAGATTGTTAATACATTTGCCTTATACGAATCAAATAAAACTATTTTCATTTTTAAAAGATTATTCAGATACATGCTTTTTTTCCTTAGTGTTGCAAATATCTGCACAGATATGATCAAATTCAGCCAGTTACTGACTATTTACTCCACATGGACCTCTTCTCTCTACATTCATTCTGTTCTACCCTGAAATTAACACCATGTACGTTAATTTGCTGAGCTATTGTTAAAAATGTATGTTTTCATTGCATTTCAAGGATACTGATAATGAAAAAAGTGCTAGTTAAATATTTATTATAAATTTAAAGTTTTCATTTAGTGTATATGTTAAAATTTACAGAATTTTTAGATGGAAATCAAACTGATCAAACTTTATAATGAAACCTTTTTTTTTTCTTTGCAAAGCAGTTTTAATTTTTGTATTTGTGGATGTTAGTAATGAGTGAGTGGTCCTTTCCCAGAACACATCTTTGGGAGTTTTTTCAATCAAGTAGATGCATGTTTTCAGATTCTCATGCTCTGGGAGTTTTTCAGGCACGATATCATGTAAGGAATTCCCTCGGTCTGGCAACTCCTTCATTTTTGACCTGATTGTTTAAGTATTGGTCAGTTTCCTTTTCATTGAACAGTCCTCCTATATATGCTGGCAATCTCTGGATCTTATTTGTAGTGATGACTTGCTCGTCTTGTCACATGCTTTGTAAAATATTGAATTTACCAAGCCAGCTAGATCCAAATAATGCCTCTGTGTTTTCAACTGGCCCATAAAGATTCAGGTTTGCTTGTGTTTTTTATTTATTATCTGTGTTGTATGTTTAAATTGCAGTTGCACACGAGTCGCATCCCAGCTCTGCAGCTTCACAGAGAAGTTGTGCCTATATCACTTCTGAGACCTTTGAATGAACCAGCACTGATCAATTTGAAAACATGCTGCTGGTGGTATGCGCCAGAACTCAGTTGGAATTCTGGTAACAGGGTCTGAATCATCTTAGTGCTGCAGCAGTTTTTCATTGTGTAACTTTGTCTGTAAGCTATTCCTTGAAACGCAATTAAGATGGTTATGAAACAACAAAATGTGGAAGCATTTAATAATCCTTAAATTCTTTTAGATGGTAATAGCTTTGTGATTCCCCTAACAAAACCGCACCATGATTTCCCTCTGGTTCTTTAACTTCTTGAAGAAAGGTTTTTCTTTGAAAACAGATATAAAAAGACAATTATCCTTAAAAGTCCTTAAATGTATTCATTTTAGGTTTGATGACATTGTCATCATTGTTTGTCTCTTCAGCTCTGGATTCTAGTTTATCCTGTATTGAACATCATTGATCTCACAATAGAGAGAGTCACTTCTGCATCTTACCCCATCACCTTGGGGAGCAGTGGGCTGCCACTATGCGGTGCAATGGGGGGGTTAAGGGTCTTGCTCAGGGACCCAGAGTGCAGATTGTGGGGATCGAACCGGATACTTGCAACCTTCTCAGAGCACAAGCGCACTGCTCTAACCGCTAGACCAACACACCCATACATACTGTAGCTAATGTGTGCGTAAGACAACATGCAGTACATGCAACCTTTCGTTGTGGAATTGCCGATCATTGAGTTAGTCAGCAAATGGTAGGCAATGCCGTGAAAAATGCTATTTTCAAGCGCAAGTGTGACAAAAAAAGAAAGAAAAGAATGAACATGTTATTTGTGTCCTTGGCTACAGACTATTTTAAAGTTTGCTTGATTATTTTCTTTCTAATCCTGCTCACGCCGTTCAGAAATTTTTCAACTGGCTTGTTTGCATGGTGCATTCTTAATATTATTGCCAGTTAGATCTGATTAGTTAGGTACAAAGGATTCAATTGAAGGAGGAAAATGTTGCTGCACATGACCTTGAGTTGAAGGAAATTATTTATGAAGATTTTTTGAATATCGATGTTAAGCAAGGTGTGGGAACCTCCGTTTGTTTTTATTCTGATCCTTAACATAAGGCCAGTCATTTCCGAGGAGGTCATGATCAACCATTTCCTGCCAGGCCTCAGGTGTCTGCACGCTGACATGGAGCAACTGTCTCCAGAGCATGAGGTTAGTAGACACAGGGAGACGCCCAGACACGCTCATACGTGTGAGGGGATTTCTTTTTACTTATCACGCACTGATTCTTAACACCATATATTCAATCAAAGGAATACCAGCATGCTCACAAGCTGCTGCCTCCTTTCCTTTATTCATTATTCTCACTAAACTGAAGCAGACCGTCTGACATCTTTCTCAGAAACACTCATAGACACACACCTAAAATATTTATTTTTGTCGCCAAGTCTCACGCTATCCAGGTCATGTGAGCATTTTCCCAAGGTGACTAATAATCAGCCGTCACTTTATGCACATCCACTGTCTGTTTGATCCTGATAAAAGGTTCTAATTTTAAGTTAAATGCAATAAATAGATGCAGCCTGTTTGCTTTGCAAGGCTTAAGGCTTTGTTGAGCACCTCAGAGCATCCTGTTAATATCCATCAAATTGATGGCATGTAATGTTTGGGTAAATCATGTCAGTAGGTTTTTTGGATTTCATCTGAAAGTGTTTCTTGTTCAAACAGGTGATTCTAGGTTCTATGATCAAGGAGTGTGAAATAAAGGTGGAGAACAGAGGAATTACTGATGCACAAGGGTGAGTCTTCATCACATGAGTAAATGTTTGGGGGGGGGGAAGTTTTATTTACTTGGTTGATGAAATTATTTATTATATCCATCTTAATTATCAAGTAAAATCCGTCAGAATCTATAAATTCATGTTTGGACTGTGGCTGAACTAGTCCAAAACCTTCTAATTAATTGTTAGTTGAATTGATAGATGACTTTAGACCTGATCATGCCAGAGGTATGACATGTCTGGGAAAATACATGTTTTCACTCGGACTTATTTATATAAATCTGATAGAAAATAAAGAAATGCATAATTTCTCATTTATTATTAAAAAAACAGATTATAGCTCAACTATATTTTTCTTCTTCTGCACACCTCATTCTGTAGAGCTGCACCATATCGTCCTCTTGGCGAATACCTAAATAAAATTTATTTTATTATTTTACTCTGTGCATGTTTAGATGGACATAAAGTGACATATTTACATGCATTTTTTGGATCAATGTATTTTTTCTGTATTAACATGCATTCCATTTTCTAATTAAAGATGCACATTTGATTATTTATCGGGACTTTTAATGGTTAATTTCTTTATTTAATGGGATATTTGAAGTTATTACATGATGTTTGTATTGACTTTTCTCTCTTTTGGCCCATAATGCACATCAGTTGTCATATCACTATGATTCTGAAGACCCATGATGGAACCGCACCTTTATACTATCATGTTATGTTAGACTGCTCATGCATTCATTCAATAGTGTTAGTGAGCCTTAAGCGGCATTTCTGTGCAGACTTAGAAAAATTATTCTTTTAAATCATTTGAGAAGCACAGAGAGATGAGTCAGTGTAACATAGATCAGCATTTCAAAGGTATTTATTTAGTATTTCAGAAGACAAAATGATTACAAAGTTAAGGTTTTAAACTTTTTATTAGCATCTTGTATTAGAAATGAGCAACATTAGAGTGACTGAATATTAATCCACATTAATGTACAGGGTTTCCGCGGGTCATTAAAAGTTATTGAATTATTATTTTTAAAATGATGGCCTGAATTGGCAATAGAATTCATTAAATGTGATTATTGTGGCACTTAGAATGTTTTATAGAAAAAATAAAAATAACAAAAAAAGTGTATAAAAACAATTTCGTCAGATATATTGCTATATATTTGCACGGAAATGCTTCTGGTTGATCGTAAAGCCATAGGTTCGAGAAAAAAGCTAGAGAATGGGAAAATGCAAACTTAAACAAAAGCGTCTGGAAAACGAGGAATTCGGGACGTAGCTGCAGCCTTTCGACGGTAAAGATTATGAAGGATTTTGTCTCGTTTATAAGAGAGTCATGGGTTCTTGTTGATGGCATTAAAATTTTCTCTAAGAGCATTAAAAAGCATTAAATTAGAGTTACTCATTCCTGTATAAATCCTGATGTAATTAACTGATATTGATGGGAACAATTTCCTCAGCAGTGACTGCTATTGGTGTGTCATTTTTTTACCTTTATTCTTCATTATTCGAATTTTTATTTTTTGATTTTTCAGCTTTTCTCCTATCTGACCCAATCATAAAAATAAAAAAAAACCTTCAGATTTCATTCACAGAAATCCTTCTGTCCATGTCTTGTTATTTCTTGGTGAAATTGTAGACTTTTTAAATGCTCCCTTAAGGGCTGTGCCATAAAGCTGTAAAATACTTCACATTATGTAAGCGTTTCAAACCAGTTGATAGTTAGTGGTTAGAAGGTTTTTTATTTCTTTTTCTTTTATTTGTTTAAATAAGGACCAGGGGAAAGGTGCTAAATATGAATTATAACTCTTTAAATTGACAATTTAACCTCTCAAAAAGGCTCAGCTCTACCACCAGCCTAGCTTAGCTTGGCTGTAAGAGGTTAAGAGCTGAAATTGTTTTCTCTGCCTACATCTCCCAGAATGCTTTGCGATTCCAGACCAGGCTTCAGTATAGCTATAGAACATTTTATTTGAAGTTTTCTTTTATTTATACTTAATAGGTGTTTATCCCAATAGATAATGTTTAATTCCTGCTTCAGTTTTTGTAAAGAAATTTCACTAACATATTAATACTGTTCATTTAATCAGTTTATTCTTTATAGAAAGAACTATATGGTGGATGTATTGGTGCAATGTTTTTTTAAGGATATTAAATGGAAAATAATAAGTTACAAAAATGGAAGCCTGAACACGTCTTTAGTTTTCATTTACTTATTTATCAAGGAATTGAGCTTTGTATTTTCAAAAGGCAAAGTGTGTAAAAATTAAACCCTGATCTTGATCAGTTTTTAAGTTTTCTCCTTCCTAAAACTTGCACGTTATTCCACAATAAAAAAAAGAAAAAGAAAGGAATGGTTTTTTACCTGGAAAACTGAAAACTTGTGAAACTCACCGTTTATTTTACAAGTTATTCTCTTTTGGACCAGATGCTGTTTGGTAATGCTGACCACTAACCATAGAAGACTCAACATCCTTAACTCCTTGGCTCATGTTTGGAGTTGCCGTTAAGATGTGATGTTTGTTCTTCTGTTGAGCAATAGAGCAGCTCAGCAAAGTGCTGTTAACTCCTCTACTGCATCAGCCAGAGTTTTAACCCAAAAGAGGAACTCAAGGGGCCGTTAGACAGTAAAGATCAGGAGCGTTTCAATTGGCAAACAGTATTTCCTCTTTTACAAAGTCAAGCAGAGGGTAACACTTAACAGCAGGAACATTTTTTAATCAATTTTTGCTGCTTATGATTTAAAGATGCATTGTATACAAATTTGAGTATTTTTGCCTTTTTTGTCGTTTCGTTTTTAGATCGATTTCTATCGCATCCAGTTTGGTGGGTGAAGATGCTAAGACGAAGTTCCTGAGCAAGATGGGTCAGCTGACTACTTCTGGGGCCATGCTGGCCAACGTCTTCCAGAGGAAGAAGTAACTGACTGATGCGCGACGAACCCACACTATAAACTGACAGGCCTCCTGTTGTCTTTGGGAGCATTTCATTTTTAAAAAAGCTCTGGTTTTGTCCAAATTAGCTACACAGCTGCTTTATGAAATCAAATATACGATCAGACATGAAAATAATGCTGCAGTGAGAAGAACTTCCATTATGTGGGGGGTGTTTTATTTTGCAGTGAAAACCTGTGAAGTTTTTCCCTTTTTTATTTAATTTTTTTGCTTTTTCTCCTTAAGTCATCGTGACATAAGCAATGTCAAGAAAGGGGTTAATTTCTGAGTGTTAACGTTTCAGAAACTGAACACTATCGATATGCACGCAAACCGGTGACAAAGAAAACACCCCCATGGCATTTCTGGACTTGAAACTTTCCCAGAATTGGATTGAATTGGACCTTTTAGAAGTCCTCCGCTCCAGGGAACATAAGCCTGAGCAAATGTTTGAACTACAAGGCTGTGCATCTGTTTGAAACGACTTGTACAGTGTGTCTGTACTCCTTAGAAGTGTTGCCTACTTGAAACTATAAACATTTGTCTTGCCTTTATTTGTTTAAAGTCTGTATTTTACAGCTTCCTATTTTTCTTATTTATGTCTTAATGAAGGAAAAAAAACAACTTTATTCCAACTTCCAAAGAAATTTGCACTTCACTTTACTTCTTTTTGTTCTTAAAGCATTTTTTGTTGTTTTATTGCAGATTCTTATATCTAATGATTATCACTACTTATTTTCCCCTCATTCATTCTGACGATGTAATGTAGAAGCAAACACTGGTCTTAATTATACCTTCTCTGGCCGTTGCATCTTGTCTATGTGTTGCCGTGTTTCTGATTGTACTTTTTGTTTTTCCAAATGTTGGTATTTGGTTTTAAGGTCCATTTTGGAGACGCCCGAAGAGAAACAGCAGATATCTGTATCACACTGACCTGAGGAGGATGATACTTTATGTATATTTGAAATTTGTGTCATGCTGTAATAAATGATGGATTGGTTGTGTACTTTAAGGTACTTCTGGAATATTGACTGAGTTTCTGTGAATGGCTTTGAACCGTTTCTTTTGTCTGTGCAACAATATTACACAAGCTGCCTGCAGCTTAAAGTGTCGGCAGGTGATAAAAGCTGTTCAAAGGACAAAAGAATATATAACAAGCCTACTGTCTCACATCCAGCGTTTTGATGTGGTCTGTTGTCCACTTACCAAAGACCAAAGTCCATTTTATGGGGCATTCCCAACATTTAACCTAGGATACTCCCCTCCCCACACCTTTCCTCCATAACAGGCCTGTTCAGTAGGAGCTTTCGGCCCCCTCTTTAGTCCAGTCCTCTACCTTGATTTGTGTTTAAAATAAAATTTAAAAAAAGCCTCTCTTATTTATTTAGTGGTCAAAAAGTGTGAGTTGGCTATCTTTGTAATAAAGAGCAGAATTTGCATATTAAGGCTAATATTCTACTAGGCACACTGATAAGTGACCAGGTGGGCAAACACTTCATTTAGGCGTGCCGCTGTGTCCTCAGAAATGCATTCGTCCACAAGGATGCCTGTGTATCATTTGCATCGATGGTGAATCTCTTCCTTCTTTCAATAAAAACAACTCGATATAGCCTTGGTAAACAGAAAATGCTGCCAGTGTCGGTTCATAGGTTTTACATATCTGAGGGGAAATGAAATAATTGATTCCATGGGTCCTAAAATGATGTAAACATTCCCTGATGCATGGAAATATCTTAAATTGGATTTTACTGAGGTGTGTGGAAAAAAAACAAAAAAACTTTTTAGTATAGCTTTAATAAACAGTCTAAATGTCTTTCTGTGCCCTTAGTTTATGATTGATGTGCTGGAAATTAGGTCCATTATTCTTTATGCTACTTCTTCTGTTATTTTAGTCCCTTTGATACGTTTTTAACAGCAGAGTTTAAATTCTTAAAACCACTTGTTCAGTCTACACATGATGGTTTCACTTGTGCATGGAAAAAAGCTGTTTCTCAGTTTTCTGAGCAATGTGCAAATACTTTGGTACATCTATGATAATTAATAATCAACGTTCTGTTTCTTATATTATCAGTTACTTTGGACGCGTGGATAAAAAATGTATTAAAAGGTTATCAACTGTAAAGTCTTCTCACAATAACACATTAGTTCATCACATCAGTCTTTCCAAATCAAATGATCAAACAAATTTTCTTAATATTTTAAACGTATCTTTTATAAATTTGTCCTGATTTGCTAATTTTAGGAATCTTTACACCACATTCCACCCTTCAAGCCACCATGTTTGCAGTGTGATTACATCATGGCAGATCCCTCAGGAGGCACTCTTTCCAACTCACATTGCAAGAGAGGATATTTGGAAGTCGAGGTAGACCAATACATTCAATGTTATTAGCATATCTGTCTTGTACCACCACCAGCTGATGTGTTCACTGATTCCTTAGTGGATTAAGCAGCCATGCCTTGAGATGCATACATTGCCACTTCCTCCCTGGGTTCCCATTATTTTTGTATGCACTTTGTTTACATTTTTCAATACTCCTAAGTGATTTGTTTTTGTTGAAATTTAGACTTGTGTAACCTTTGTTATCATTTTGTCTTCCTTATCTTGTAAATGGAGGAGAAAAAACTCAATATCACCAAAATCCACCCCAAACAATATACAGCACCTATTGTGGATCGGTTGGTATTGGTTGATCCCTGTTTGGACTTAAACTACTTTTATTGTCGTTTTGTACAGCTCTCATGACATTTCCATTTCTTAAAGTGCAGCAGTGATCAAATGTAAACAGTGTGGGAGAAAATGAAATATATATGATGCAATTTTGTAGTTGGTGTTGTCAGTCTGTGACATGAGGACTGTACTTAGTTATTTTACTTTTTAAAAGCCAGATAAGAGGTGCTGACAAAGTTACAGGCATTAGATGGGAAGTTGAGGTGCTGACGACAAGGATTGCAGCCATTCATAATGGCCCATCCCAGTCAAATGCCAGTCGGATGGCAGCCTACTTCCCTGCGACTCCCAGCAAAATCCCCTCCAATTTTCAGCCACTGGCCGCCTCCTGTTTTTTCAGGGTCTGACCAGGAGATGATGCTTCTCTTTAGATCTTAAAAACTTTACTTAAAATTTCACAAATCATAACAGAATAATTTGGTACAAAGATTGATGTTTAAAAGGAATTTTAGGGGACCAGCCAAGGGCCCATCAAGGAAAGTGGGGAAATTTTGAATGACTGCTACTATAAATTAAAGATCTCAGCAATAAGGTGTACTTTACAATTTACAATACCTGTCACCAAAATTTTTTCTATAGTTTACATATTAACGTCCCTTTTAGAAAACACCATTATGTTGACATCATGATTACGCAATATGACTTTCTCATCTATGCACTTTGATCACATCACATA